CAAGCGCTCCAGACGGCCGTCAGGATAGCCAGGTTGTGATCTGGCAAGAAATGGCTTAGTGAAGCTGAATTCCCCCGGGCCCCCGCCCCTTTAGGACCTGGATGTTGCAAGGCAGACCAGATGGGGAACGAGATGTGTTCCTCTTCGTTAATGTAGTTGATGTTCTCAAACACGCATGCATGCTTCTGGTTTATGCAAGAGCTTTCTACATATTACTGTGCTTGATGTCACTGACTGTGGAATTTAAATCTTAGTGGTTATTTCTTGATTTACATTGCTACTGTGTAGTTTCTAAAAGCTTTGTGTCTTTTACTTGATGCTTTTGATTTTTGAAGGGCTTTGTTTGCATGGTTTCTTAGTATAAGACATGACTATGGAATTTTGGTACAGGCAAATCTGGCCTTGTTTTGCCTGTGCTCTCAGAAACAAAATCTGTCCTGTGATTTTTAAATACCTACTTTGAACTTGTTGAAGGGAAAAAAAAAGGTATGTTTTCTGTCACAGGACTCTTATTTAAAAACTTCAGTGTCGTAACAGATGCCAGTTTATACAGTATTGAGGCCCACTTCAGAACACTGGTCTTCTGGTAGACTCTAATTTATAAAGCATGGACCGCTGTCAAAACAAGATTCCTGTGTAAAGCAGAACTGAGCATTTTCATAATGAGCCTTCTGTAAGGCTGAGAAGATATTACAAAATGCTACGGTAACCTTTGGTCAATATAAGCCAAAGAAGTTGTGAGAACACATGCTTGAGTTGGGCTGTTTGGGAAGGGAGAGGGCAAGAGTAAGGTTAGAATTAGTTTCTTCCCCCTTGTCAATGTCAAGCGTATGGTTCTAGACTTTTTTTTTTCCATTTGAAGGGAGGATAAGAAGAGCTGTGAATAATATATGTATGTCGTAATAGAAGATGTCTATATAGCTCTCTGTAGTGCTTAAATTTATTACAAGGAAGAAAATGTATAGTTAAATAACAACTGAGCAAGGTAGGAAAAGGTATAGAATGACATTTGTTTTGCCGGGGGCATTCTAGTTCTATTGTAAGGGAACAGACATAACTTTATTTTAAGAACTTAAATCACAACTTCTGATGTTTCAAACACAGTAAAGTGAGGATATCAGTTATGAATTTTAAACATTGAATTACAAGCCACTGGAATTCTCTATTGCATAATCTTGTAAATACAGAGAAACATTCTATCTTTGAGTTAATTTCATTTTTGTACTTTTAGTAGCAACCTGGAATACAATGACCCACACAAGTTGCTTCTCTTTCCTTGTCGTGTCATGCTTGTTTTCTGTAGGACAGATAGGCCAAAGGTGGCCTAATTGGGTTAGTTATTGATTAACTATCTTCCCAACATGATCAGCACTTTGAATTTCAGGTATATATTGCCAACATTCATCTCTGATAGCAAGTTGAGTGTGATCCCAATCCTCTTCTGGTTGAGGAAGGGGCTGACTTGCATGTTCTGTAAATAGAAGCAGAAAAGAAGTTGACAAAGAAATAAAAGTACACGTTGTTACATTGAAATGTGGGCTTTTATAACTGAAACGACTGTGCAGTAACCTCAGATAAAGATTTAAAAAAAACGTTCTAGGTGAGCATCCGTAGTAATGACTGAAGAAATTGCTTGTTTTCTAATATGTAACAGATGCTCTGATGCCTTGCTATAATGCAATAGAGTTGTAACAGTTTCTTAAATACAAATGCTGAATATGAGAGTTCAGAACAGTTTTCTAGGCTACTCTGTTGAGTTTAATCCTCCCTGAAACAGCAATCTCAAGTGCCTCAGATATTTTTTTCTTTAAAGTGGTTTTTTTTTCTTTATTTCAAATGTCAAGGTAAGGTGAGATTTCAGAACGGTCTGTTGTTTAATATCCTTGCTGACTTGGAGGCCTTACAGGAAAACTGACTCTTTGTAAAATAAAAAGTGCAAAACAGACTGCAGAAAACCTTTCTAGTCTTTCACAGTAATCTAGGGTGTTACCTGTAACTAGAATCAACATGGGCTCAGCTATCTAGAGATGATAGTGCTTTTCCTGACAATACCTCTTATCTGAAAGACTTTGTTTTTTGTCTTAACTACCCTTCTGTTTGTACTTTGTGGAATACGTGCTTTTCTGTAATATGTAGCTGGCGATTCTATCAACTTTTGAATAACATTAATTGAATTTTGTATTTTAGGGTAAAATCTTTGGAATATCTTTTCATGCATTACCGCAATCATTTGTGCCAGAATATGGTTATGTTCCGAGGTAAATTAACACCGTATATTTAGACTTACACTTGCTTTGCTCTCTTTATAGTGTTGAACTCTTGTCAGAAGAGGGAACATAATATTTATTCCAGGCCTGCTAAAGCTTATGGGGGATACAGGAATTAATTTCAGTTGGGGAAGGAGGGATGCAAAAGTTAAAGGGGGAATTCAGAGCCACAGCTATCATTCAGTTGTATTTCTTTATACTTCTTGTCATTGGGGAAAACTATGCTACACATTAAGTTTTAGCTATTTATCATGAAATAGTTTTTCTGGAAAAAACAAGCTTTATTCTGAGCGTCAGAAGTATCATACTGTTCTTTCCTCAGCTTTCTTGTTGATACTTGTGAATATTTGGAAGAACATGTTCATACTGAGGGACTCTTCAGAAAGTCTGGATCTCTTGTTCGTTTAAAAGCTTTAAAGGTATTATCTAAAGCTTTTTTCTTTTTTTTTTTTAAATAAGCTGCATTTCTTTCAATCAGCTGCATGTTTTAGTTTTTTGGATGCTTTTCAGTCATATTTGAGTTTTAGTATTGGAAGTAGACTGGTAATATTACCTGCTCTAGAAATCAGATCAGTCCAGAAACTGATGAATTTCACCATTTTTCTTTTTTTTTTTTTTTTTCTGGGAAATTTTTCAGCTTTCCAGATGGTGAGAATACGCTTGTGACTGAACAAACTTGTTAGCAGTTATGCATACTGGATACTGCGAGGATATTTGTTTAACAGTATTCTCCCAGAAGGACGTACACATGGGAAATCTGTGAATTAATGCATGTGGTCTGACAGCGTCGTCAGTGTCTTTTTGTAGATACCGTAGTTGCGTAAAACATGACAAGGCTGAAACTAAAAATGGGGAAGATGGGACTGTCTTTTCTGATACGGGCTAGAGGATTAATGCCTAAACTTAGAAATCTGACTGTATGTTGAAGACTTAAAATCATATTTATTATGAACAATTTCAGAGTAAACTGGATCAAGGTGAAAATTGCCTATCGACTGCACTGCCATGTGATGTTGCCGGGCTTCTTAAACAGTTCTTCAGAGAGCTGCCAGAACCCATCCTTCCACCTCACCTGCAGGAAGGCCTTTTCAAAGCTCAGCAGCTAGGAAATGAGAAGAAAACTGCAACTGTGTTGCTGTCTTGTTTGATGGCCGACAGAACAATTGAAGCTTTGAGATACTTTTTCAATTTTCTGAGAACTGTGTCCCTAAGGTCAGTGTAAAGAGAGCGCTTGGAAACAGCTCCCGATTCCTTTAACAGCTTCTTTCCAGGCAACTGCTGTAACTTTCTGTGAGTGGTTTGTGACTTTAATCTGCAGTCATTCACTAGAGTTCAGTCATGGTCTTTTCTTTCATAAATCCAAAATGTTTTCTTTATGAAACCTTATTTTGCTGGACAATTGACTTTGTTCCATTCTTTCATAGCTATATTTCTCACTCTTTGGAAAGCAAAAGGAGTGACTGATAAAATTAACATAATCTAACTGATACCTTGCATTCCCCAAAACTAAACTGTGTCTAGAACCTCTTGATTTCAATCACATAGTCATGCAGTTACCTAGCCTGAAGTGCTTAAGTCTACACATTAATCTCAGTATGTGAGCACTCAAGTGAATGAGTCTGGTTTTGTTGGGGTGTGTGTGGTTTTTTTCCCCTGCATTTGTCTAATTTGTTTTTTTTTTCTCTCTCCACTGCTTATGTCCTGATAATTTGTGTTTAAAAAAACTCCACAAAAACCAAACCAACAAACTTTTCATGTTAAGATCCAATGAAAACAGAATGGATAGCAGTAATCTGGCAGTGATTTTTGCTCCCAACCTCTTGCACTCGAATGAAAATGAAAAGATGTCAGCCAGTACAGAAAAAAAAATTCGCTTGCAAGCCGCTGTTGTGCAAACATTTATTGACCATGCAGCAGAAATCGGTAAGATAATAAAAGTTTATCAAAATGTCTTGTTGCACACACTTGTATACAGCTTTTCTGTTCAACTTCTAAAATATCTTTAAAAAAAAATATTTCTCAACTAATTCAGGGCAGGTACCAGAATTTATCTTGGAAAAGATTCCTGCAATGTTAGGTGTTGATGCCTTTCAATCTACTCCCTCACTGTGGGGCTATGAAGACAGTGAAAATGAATCTCCCAGTGAATGTAAGAAGAGGAGGCATCGAAGTGTTGGAGGTAGGTATGTTGTGTGAAAGTTTCAGCAACTAAAATAGAATTATTTTGAGGCTTCAGGTATGCTGATCCTAAGCACTTGCTTCTTCCACAAGCAGAATAGATAGATGCCTGTGAAATTTGTTGGGTTTGAGTTGCAAAATCTAGATAAGACTTCAGTAATCACATCACTTTATTGTATATTTACTCTGAGTTTATTCTACTGTGTCTGTTATCTACCAAAGAAACTATTTTGCTTGTGTTTGGATTTGTGAAGCCAAATTAATGCTCCAGTTTTTTGTTGAGTCAACTTCAGACCCTGTTGCAGAACAGTGATAAAGTAAAGATTTTTTTTTTTTGGCTAGTTTTGAAATTATTCTTGGACACTCAGTTATTGTATACTTCAATAAGTCAGGTCATGAGAAGGCAAGGAGATAAATGGCATGTGTGTGTTGAATTAGAGTAATTTGTGTTTTGAAGTGCAACTGAATTGGATATTATTGGATACTGTGTACTCTGATAATGTGGATCTGGTGGTTTTTGTCGTGTAGCTATTCAATAGGGGGTTTTTTTGCCACATATGTACAATCAAATGGTATAATCTCTGTTCTTCTGCATTCTCTTTGAGGAAATACTATGGAATACCTATGTTTGACGTGATTCAAATCCATGATAATACTGATCTTGTATGTATTGTTATAAAAATATGAGTATGTATTTAGCTCATGTACCTGGAATGTTAAACCTGACAGCAATTGAAATTAAGACTTTATTATTGTATATATTTAGCCAAGGCATGGTTTGTTTGGTTTTTTTGGTGTAATATACTTTTTCCACTCTGAAGAAGGGATATCATCCTGGAGTTGCGAAGTGATAAATGTTTGTGAATGTTAAAATTTTGAGGAGAAGGAGGTGGGATAGGTTCTGATAGTAGGCAGCTTCTAATCTTTCTCCAGATGTAGTAAAACATAGTATTACTATATTTTATCTATTGTCAAAGATGAGTTTTTAAAAACTACCTGATTTCTACCATACCAGAAAAGTTGTACTGCAGGCTTGTGGTTTGCCAAGCTTTGCTATGAACACACAGAAATACAACTGAAGATTGCAATATTGCACTTAACAAAAATACAAGTTTACACTTCTAAAGCAGGAAAAACAGTAGAACTTCATGCATGTACTCTGCTGGGTTTAATTTTGCCTTTAAAACAAACAAACAGACAGAACACCCCAAACCAAAATCACATAGTTGATAGAAAAGTTGTATGTTATTTCTTTGCAAGACCAAAATTTCATACTTCTATTTGGTCCTAACTTCAAAGCTCTAAGAGTTTTTCAGCTTCAAGATGACTGTCCAGTAAAGGAGAAAGTCTGTGAGACTTTGTGAGAAGACTTCAATGGATACTTTCTAGATTTGTCTACAAGAAATCAGAAGGCATATAATTTCATAATGGCCAGTAGAACTTTCAACAAGAAACTTCTGTTGTCTGTGCATTTTTAAAATTTTTTTTTAAGGCAAATAGAATTTTTCAGCAGCAAAAACTATGTTGATGCGATATGGACTATAGTTTTCTTTACATAAAACCACCATTTAAACTGATTTGGTTTATTTCTCTCTGAAAGAATGTGAGTTAAACTTGAGTTGAAAATAGAGCAAGACAAACTTCATATTTAAATTTGATTGCTCAATGTGTCTTGCATTTCAGATATGGTTAGTGGAGCACTGAATAAATTTAAATCTAACAGAACACCCTCCACTACACCTCAACAAGATAGAAGCGGTAGGTATTGGTGTATTTGTACTAAATAAAGCCCATGCAGTGTCTTCTGGATTTGTCAACTATATTCCACAATTTTTTTAACTGAAGAACTAAACTTAGTTGAATATAAGTGATTATGTTTGAATTGTTTAAAACTTTAAATATAGATACATCTTTATTGAGGATACTGCATTTACTGTAGTTCTTGGAGCAGCTACAATGACTGCAGCTGTGGGCTGTACGATTCTAGGATTACACAGCTGAACTTGCGCTTTTTATCTAACACACCCTAAGGCTTCAGTGCAGTAGTGCAGCATTTTATCATCTTGGGAATGAATTTGCCAGGACTGAAATTATTTCACTCTTACTCTGTCTCTTAAACTATGACTATAGAAGATGACTATACTTTTTTTTTTCTCCTAATAAATCTAAATCCCCATATTAATAATATATTTTCCCTTCTAGTACTCTAACTTGCAAAAGAATCCCAACAAAATTAAAAAAACCCCAAACCCTAAGCTATGCTGGTTGCTTTGCCTGTTGAAAACGCATGTACTTTGGCTAAGCTTTTACAACAATTTTCTTTCAGAGTTTAAAAAAAAATCAAAACAACTGTTTATATTTTAGTAAACTCTCAGCCTTTTAATCTGTCATTGGAAACTTTGGTTTTCTTAATTTCAGTCCTTTCATCAGTGACTCCGGTGGTTCTTACTCCAAGTATCAAGCGTAAACTTCCAACTGATTGCTCTCAGGGCTTGTCCAGCAAGAAGAGACGATCTTTTAAGCATAATTTTGCTTTTGAGTTGTTACCAAGTAGCATTTTCATCAGTGGCTCAACGCCAGCATCAGGTACAGTGCCTTCATTTTTCTCTTGCTACTTGAAGTGGTTGCTTGTGGCTTTTAATTTAAATGTACAGTTTTTTTGTTCTAGTTAAGCAGTCATTGGTAATCTTCAATTAGCAGTGTTCCTTGCACTACTTTCTCATCTTAGTAAATAGTTTATATTCATCAGTGACTGTCATATTACATGGACAGAGCAAAAGCAAAATTCTTTTCTTGTCTTCTGTTCTATTAATCTCTCAAATCTGCAATCCTGATGTCCTTTTATCTTTTTCAGTCCCTCTGTGTCACCTAGGTTATACTCAAGTTTCTCTCTTAGGCAGTCTTCACAAATTTGTGTGCTATGCTTGCAACCTTTTGAAAGTTGTAGCCGCCTTCTGTCTCCTAAATACTTAAATAGCTGATCTTAGCTCCATGTGAAATGTAATTGTTGCTATTATAAAGGTTCCTTCTTAAATCCAATTGCCTCTTGTCTTCTCTAGGGGCTAAATAATCTCAAAATTTTATAGAAAAAGTTTTACTTTTGTTTGACAATACTTTAATACCACTTAATTCTTTTAGAGTGCTTCCAACTGTCAGGCTCTTCTGCAAATCCTATTTTATTTTTGTTTGATTCCTTAACATGGTGGCAGCTGAAGTCAGAGTAAAAAGAAAAATTTCTAGATTGGCTATGTTTGTTTTGCCTGAAGATCAATTTTCTTCCACTCAGTTGAGTGGTATAAAACTTCTTGCTTTTGTTCATTAAGTCATTTCATGCTCACCATGAAATTATTGTTTCTATGGATAAGCAAACCAAAGCAATGACACTTTCTAAAGATAGTGGTAATGCATCTTTTTCATAAAAAAGTTTAGTAGAGTAGCAACTCTTTCATTTGTTCTTGCTTTATCTGTTCTGGCTAGGTATGTAAAAAAAAAAAAAGCACGCTGCAAATAATATTAAAACTGGATCTAATTTTTCTTGAGCTCTTAAATTTGAGGAACTCATCAGATGATAGCAGTGTGGAAACTTAATTGAGGTAGTGATATCAGTAGCATGTAATTAATTGCAACGCGGCTACTACTATGGATGCTACAAGCACCAGCTTCATCTAACATTAGATAAAAGTGGAAGTCAAAGTAATTTCAACCCAGCACTCCACAAAATAAGCAATCAAATCTGTGCTGTTTAAAAAACTAGTCTTTATTGTATTAAGTCTCTTTATCTGAAAAATGTGACCATTTTAAGATCATGTACTTATGATTTTGTTCCTGCAGTCCAGTTTGAAGCAAGCCCTTGCGTTTCTCTTGAGTCATCACAAACCTCACTGTCTCCTTCAACTGGTGCTGAAAATCATCTGTCTAGTACAGGGAACAGAAGAAGTAAAAGACACGCAAGCAAAAAATTATACAGGTAATTTGCCTTAACTCTCAGAAACTAAAGATAAGTTGGAAAGGTAAGTCTAGACCCCTTGATTAATGGTGTGTAAAATCTCAATCTGTCTTTAAAATGATCTTTTTTTGATGTTCAAAACATACCAAATTTTTATAGTAATCTTAAAATCACCAGATCTGGCAAAATGGAGCTCAAACCAAAATAAGATCTGGTATAGTAGCCTCCTGTGTCTATTAAAAAAGTTTGGCAAGAAGGTAATAGAAGTAAAACTAGAGGAAGTAACCACAAACAACTGTCAGGATGTTTTCATTGCCCTCCTAAAGAGTTTTTTATGTGTTGCTTCCTCCCCTCTGTCCTCCTAGGGCTGAATCAGGAAAGACAGGTTGTTTTTCACCGAAGATTAGCCGAAAAGAAATGGTTCGTAGGTCGTTACGTTTGAAGTTTGGTTTGGGGAAAAGCAACAGAGAAATGGTAGGTATTCTGCTTCTAACCCAGTCTTCCTGTTACTGTGTGAATTTTAATCCTAAGTTTTGGGCACTGCTTTTCAGTAGAAGGAAGGACTTACGTGGTAATGGGGAGATCACAGCATAACTGGACCTGCTATCAAGTACAAGAAGCCCTAGATTTATTTTCATAGCAGTAACTGGTCAGCTTGTACTGGGATGGGGCAAGAGGCTGGAGGAAGGACAGGTGAGACAGCTGACCTGAATCAACCAAGGAACTATTCCATGCCATGTAATGTCATGCTTGCCAATAAAACTGAGACAGGGTAAAGTAGCCACTCCTCAGGAGCTCTCTGGGTGTCAGTCTATTTGTCATGAGTATTGCATGTGGGTTTGGGTTTTGGTGGGTTTGTTTTGGGGTTTTTTTGGGGGGTCTATTTGTCATGAGTATTGCATGTGGGTTTGTTTTGGGGTTTTTTTGGGGGTTTTTTTGTTTGTTTTTTTGTCCCTGTCCCCTTGCCACTCCTTTTGCCTTTCCAATTCTCTTCCTCATCCTTCTGGGGAGTGGGGAGTAAGCAAGTGGCTGGATTGGAGCTTACCTGCCAGCTGGGGTCAACCCACCACGCTTGTGATCAGTAGGTCTCGCAGTTGCTGAAATTCTGATATTACAGAGCCTATGCACGGAATCACTATGTTCAGAGCGTGGTGAAGCCTAAGTGCAGGTGGGTTGTTCCCTACCTCGCTCTACAGAGAATCGAGGGAAGATGAAGTATGGCCAAGAAAAAGCTGCTATGGCTGATTTGCATAGCCTTTTTTTTGGAGGTTCCTCTGTAAATGAGATTCCAAAATACAAGTTTGTATGAAAGTAATTAACACCTTCTGTTTGTTCAAGAATATTGTATCGGGATGTGCGGTTGGTAATAGATCTGAAAATATTGGAAGGCGTCTTGCAAGTCAGCAAGGTTTGGAAAGCAGAACTGAATGTGCAAAGAGAGATGTGCTCTTCAGCCCATGTGTCAATGAAAAATTCCCTAAGAAAGGTAAGTATCTAACAGGATATATTAGACGGGGAAAACTTCTGCTTTTGTAGAGCAAGAGTAACTTTATGAGTGAAGGTATAAAAGTAAGTGGATTAAGAGAGATGTGCTCTTCAGCCCATGTGTCAATGAAAAATTCCCTAAGAAAGGTAAGTATCTAACAGGATATATTAGACGGGGAAAACTTCTGCTTTTGTAGAGCAAGAGTAACTTTGAGTGAAGGTATAAAAGCAAGTGGATTAAAAGTGCTTCTAGCTAGTAGGACAAAAGTTACTTGAATGTTAGTGGCTCCTGGGGAAAAAGAATTGGTTTAGGACAGGCTTGTTGTATTTCTAGTGTGTTTTAGTAGCTGTCTTTAGTTAAGCAAGATGAGATGTGTGATTTCAGTTCTTAATATTCTGACCTTTTTTCACATCTCTGAAACTTAAGGGACTAATGGCATTTTTAAATTCAGTGCTGCTTTTGATAGTTTTTTTTAGCAATAATTTTGCCTATAATGATCATTAAAATCACGAGATAGTATTCTTAAACATTGTGATATTTATTTTAAGGTTCAAAGAACGTGAGCAAGTCAGAAGAAAACTTGCTAACTCCAAAATATCACGATAAAGTACTTCACCGAATGTCATGGAATAGTCCAACTGTTAAAGATTCTCAGGCGATCATTTTTTTATGAGGGAATTCTGCCAGGATGCCCTGAAGTGGGAATAGGTTCTTCAGAACCTGTTTTGATATTCGGGAAACCACCAGTTGTTCCAGATGAATTCAAATCCACAACTGTAAGCAAACAAGACAACAGCTTAGAACTCTTGCTTTGTGAAGAGGAAAGTAATTCAACTGCAGAAACATTACTGAAAGTTAAGCAAGCCTTTTCTGCATCTGGAAGCAATCTTCACAATGTGATAGGTGATACAAAATCTTCCTTCTCAGATGCAGCAGGTGAAACATTAACTGAAACTCTGTGTCTTACAGGGCTCAGTCCAGAGAAAGAATGGTTAGCTGAAGAAGTTTCTGAAAGTTTAGCAGATACAAAATCCAGAGAGCTGTTGCACCAATTTAATCAATCTTATGCTATTGATAAACAGCAATCACAAAAAAAAGAAATAAAAGTTTCGGAGAAAAGAAACTTCAAAACTTCTGTTCAGATTGAACTTCAGGTCCCAAAACCAGATGTAAAAAATGTACCACAACTTTCTGTGCCTCAAGTACTGACCAAGGAAGACAAGTTGACTGTTCAGAACAGTTTGTCAAAAGATGACTTAAACAAATTAGATTCCTTCAGAAGAAAAGAGGAAATAGAATTAGCACACTCACAAACAGCTGAAAATTGTGTGGTAAAATGCTGTAATTTAGAAGAAGATACCTCTAAACTTTCTATGGCAGGACTTCCTACTTCACAGTTGCCTAAATCACAAAATGAAGTGGGCAACCAATACTTGCAAGCTGAGAATTCTGATAAAACTTTAACTAAAACATCAACTGTTTCTGACCACGGTAAGGTTTCTGACCATGTACAATGGTTCAACAAGCTTTCATTAAATGATTCAAGTTCTGCAAGCAAAACTAAACCACCTCTTAAGTTTCAGCGTACTCCTGTTAGACAGTCTGTAAGAAGAATTAATTCCTTATTGGAGGCTAACAGACAATCTGTAAGCTCTCAGCTGCTTAAAGCAAGTGATGTTGGTTCACCGCTCGTTAAATCTTTGAGCTATGATTCTGCACTATTCTCCTGCACAGAAAAGCCCTCAAAGAATTCCGTGGCTTTGTCACTCAGGAGTGAAAGTACATATGACCAAGTTTCTATATCTCATAAGCAGCTAGACTTAACATCCAAATCGTGTTGCAGGCCATTAAATCTATCAGACAAGCCTGATGTTTCTATCAGAACTGCTGGAATCCACGAACAGAAAATGACCGTTCATTCATCAAAGTCTGTTCTAGAAGATCTAACCAATCATGAAACAGTGAAATCCAGTTTAAAAGTTAATGCAAATATAAATATTTCAGGTGCTGCCCTAGAAAAATCTACACTCACAAGAAATACTGCAGGAAAAGAAAGAGTTCGTTATAGAGGCTCTCCAAAGAATCCAATATCTAAAGTGAAACTGCTACCAACTGCAAAACCAGTAGACTTGTAAGATCAAATATGATGGCTAAATGGGCTTATTGTAACTTGCTTAAGCTTTGGAAAAATCTAAATTTGTATGATTATTTTTTAGCTCTAATTATTTGTATTTTTGATTTATTTTTTAACTGTACAAGTCATGGACTTGTACAAAGAACTTGTTTTATGTTGAGGTTTTCTTCACTTATTGAAACTTGTAAATGCTAGTCAGTTCCTCCAAATTAATTTGACTTCTGAAACAAAAATAACCTGATTGTACAAATGTTTGTGTTAGCTGTCATGTTTGATTATTTCAGCTTCTAAAAACATGCTGCATCTCCCAAAACAATTTTTGCAGTATTTAGGCTAAGTACCAAGTTAAAAAGAAATAATTCTCAGACATTTCAAACAGACATGAGAGAAAAGTCTTGATGCTGAGTATTGGTTGTTAAATTGATTTACTACTTAGTTTTAAGTGTAGCATAGCTCTACACCAGCTCTACTTCTTTTGAGACAATGGTTTTTATTTCTGTTGAAGTAAATTGGGAGTATGTTTTCCTTGTTGAGTAGGTAAATTGACATGTGCACACACACTGGAGAATTATTAGAACACATGGAAAAGAAATGTGCAGTTTATTCAAGAAGTGAAAAGTCTTAAAAGTTCATCCAGCAATGTGTTCTGCAATAGGTACCAAGTATTTTCATTCGTGAGCAGTAAAATGTTTTATCTTAATATGAAAGGATGGTTTTAACTTATTTTTAGAGCAATAGAGTAGTGTTAACTAGATGGTGCAGAAGCATGTTTTAGATGCTGATAATATTGCAAGAAATGTATGTAAGAAGCCATAGTGTGTTTAAAAGTTGATTTGCACAAGCAAATGTTTACATCTTTGGGAATTAAAACTGTTTGTCATCAATTGTAAAACTATTTAACAGTAAACACTTGAGACTTTTCATTAGCTTTCTGTATGTGCGAATTGCTTATTGGCAAAATGTAAGAGCTGAAAGCATTGGATACTTTTGGTTTTAATAAAACCATTGGTTTTGTCCCTTTTCTGACCCTGTTCTATAGGGATTTAGAAATTTATGTTGTCATATGTAGACTCTGGACATAAGAAATTACTAAGTCTGAAATTGCTGAAGTCAGGAGTGATTCTGTTCTGGCTCTCCTTTTTGTTCATCTTAAATACATGTTGGTGATTCTCACAACTAGCATGGTGGAACATAATTTAGCAGGAGTAGGCTTCTAAAATTCTTGAGTGATATGTTAATGAAAGGAACAGTTCTGCTACCTTTCTGTTCCCTGCCTCCTTCCCCACATACCACCAACTTACCAGCTGAATTGGTTCAGCTTGGTGATCTGGCAGAAACCTCCTGCCCCCATCAGCCCAGCTGAGCTGCCTCACTGTTACTACATTATTGTTAAGATCAAGCACTGAGGAAACAACCATGAGGGGATCTTAACAGGATGGCTTGGTGTTGCGGTGAAGTATTGGAAGTTTCATGGAATAAGGGAGCTAAGGTAACAGTTCACCACCCATCCAAAGAAGGATGTGCTTCTGCTCTCTGCCTTTAGCTGGTGCTGGCGGATCCCTCCGCAAGTTGAATGTAAGTACCAGAGCACCATGTTTTTTATTGTTTCACCAAGGTAAGTAAAGCTTGGCAGAGCACCTGCCAACTGTCACAGCTGATGCAAGGAGGTAGGAGATGGAAATAGGACAGAAGGAGCTAAAGGCAATGTCATGAGGAAGAAAGAGATCTGACTCCTGAAATAGTGAGCTGTTGCATCAGTTTGTGTTTGAAAGAACAAGATTTGAGACTTTTTTTTTGTTGTTGTTCTGTTAATATGTACCAAGTATTTTGAAAGCTAATGTAGCTTTGACAACGTGTCATGGATGGGGCAGTGAAATATTTTTGATCACCAATGCAAGCTGGTCTTGAGCTAGTAGACTTACATGTCAGAACAGGAGATTTTTGGTAGAGGTCTGAAAAACAAACCTTTAAATGCCAGAAAAATTGTCAAAGAAAGTTGTAGACTCCATTTTTAGATGTTTGACAGAACAGTTTAGGTACACACCTATTTATGTGAGGCTGATCGTGTTCGGGAGAAAGATTAGAAACACTAGATGCCTAATGGAGGTTCCTACTGCTTCATCCTGCAAGTTAAACATGTATAACGTACTAGAGACCAGCAAAAAGAGAGTAATCTGCATTTGAAAGTGTAGTTCATGGTTCTGTTGTGGTTTATGGGGTATAAACTCAGAGCTTTTCTGTAGATAGTGATCCTGAAGTGGGGACATGTCATGTTCACGTCAGTAGCAGTGAAGATGTTACATAAAATAGCCTTTAAATTATTACCATTTATATCACCATTTTGCCAACTGCTATTAAATGATAGGCTTCATTTAGCAAGATCCTTTGATAGTTATCTTTTTGTTACCCTCTACTATGGATGATGTATATGATGTATTGCTTAACCTGGAGACCTTAACCTGCAAATGCTTAGAGATGGTTGCCATGTTGTTACCTGGTAAAGCTGCAGTTAGGTAAATGCTACTGAGTAAGTAAACATTGATCATATTCCAGGGATAGAAATTGCAGTGGGAAGATGGGCGTGATCCTAGGAATATGTAATATTTTATGTCTATAACTGTTAATCCATCAACAACCTTTTGTTTATTTTAGGCTATTGCGTTTAGCTAAAAAGGGGAGATCTTAAATATCTTTGCCCCCCCCCCAGCTTTGTGTCATCATCTTAATCGGACAAATCCCTGCAGCAAGCGCACGGCCGCAGCAGGTACCTGCGAGAAGCTGGCGGGGCCCGGCTGCGGGGGAAGGGGGGCGAGGGGCCGTGGCTGCGCACGGAGGATGC